AGCCTGTATGTGTTGGGAAGGAGCATACAGACCTAGATTCCAAGCAGGACTCATGCTTCCCTGGGCAGCATGGAGTGACTGCTGGTGTGGGGAGGACCACATGAGAAATTCTTCTGTATGAGAAAACCAAGTTCCTCTGGCCAGACTCCAGGCACTGGAGATCTTGAATATGGAAAAATGAAAACTGACAGCCATAGACGCCCCTCTTTTGGCCTAAGGATATATGAATGGAATATTTGAGATTCTGGAAGCCTTCCTACTTGGTAAGTTCAAAGAACAAAAAGTGTCTTGCTTCTGAGGATTCTAGACTTTGCTAAAATGTAATTAAGTTCCAAGCCCCTAGAAATCAATCATACTCCCAGGAACTAATACCTTGGTTTGTCGATTAGAAGTGAGGGAGCCAGGGGCAATTACTCTCTGATGAGGGAAAGTCTCCGCTCAGAAGCCAAGGCCAGAGTTAGGGTGAGCTGGGGGTGGGAGTGGATTAGTGAAGCTGCCTATGGGAAGTGTTTCTAATTATACATAGTCTGCTTCTTTGGGCTGAAGTCTCCACTGATTACAATGTCCAATTCCTGATCAGGAAATTTTCTTTATATTGGGAGGAAACTGAGTAGAAACAATGACTGGATCCCAGAGCTCAATGAAGCCATAGGTCATCATTTATCTACTCCCTGCCAAGTCAGAATGATAGTAAATGGGAGGATAGATGGCCTGCCAGTTAGCCACCCTTGCTGAGTGTCCTGGGGAGTGTCCAGGGAACTGAGCATGGTATTTGCTCCCAGATCTTGACTAGCTTTACTCTAGAAGGAGCTATCACTGGACAGGGACACAGAAGACCTGGGGTCTAGCTAGAGCTGGACATAAGTAATGCTGCAGAATACTATCAATTAGTAGTATAGGTGAAGGTATATGTATATTCCATTTACTAGTCTTTCTACTGTTCTTTAGAGCGCTTGTCTCTAACTGGACCAGCTGACCTTTTGGCTTCTGTCCCTCACCTGTAGAATGAAAGAGTTGGATAATAAAATTTGTAAGGTCTCTCAGAATTGAATCTTTTTTTCTAAATTTTGCTGCATGGGAGGTTAACCTGGAATTTAATAGCCAAGGTAGATGGAGAGAGAAATGCAGGAGGTACAGTCCAGAGAGAAGGGTTAGGTAGAGTAGAGATGATGGGTTGAGAGCTGAGGACGATGTACAGACTCAGAAAGCTTAGTCTGCTGACTATGCTGGAGGTGTAGGTGAGGTTCTTGAAGTGGTGAAGGTGGGGGAAGGGAGTGATTCCAGTTGTTACTTGAATGCTAATTCGCCCAGCACTGGATTTATTTTAGACAACTAAGCCCCATATCAGGCAGATCCAGGCTGAGTCATCTTACCTGCCTCCCTCTCCAGTGGATCCCCATGGGGAGATGGATGTGCTGAGATCGGGGAAGTTGTAGAAAAGGAGATGAGATTCAGAAACTCTTTAGAAGCAGTTACCTCAGTGTCCCTCTTTCCTTGGGGTCTAGGGCTGCTCTAAGTAGGCTCCAGACTCAAAACCTGAGGACTGCCATGAGTGTCCACGGCAGGGCAACCAGAAGCAGAGAGCTGAGCGGGAATGGAGGTGCCGCTGAGCCCAGTGACTGAGGAGCAGCTGTCCCATGGCTCCCCTGAGCCATTGTCTTCTCAGCTTTCTGTCCTGGGAAGTGGGAGGGGATGGGTGAGGTCTCCAAGGATATGTGTGAAAGCACTGGGGAGACCCTTCAAAGCTTTTGCTATATAAAAAAATGTGAAAGGAAAATTTTAAGTCATTTTCTCCCAGCCAGGTAAGCAGGACATAGAAGGTGGCAGCTCCTACCTTGGGCAGAACCTTTCTGGGCTTTTCAATAAAGATTTGGGCTAGAAGTTCCTCCATTTATAGATAAAGCCCTTGAGTTTATTTGACTGAAGTGACTGTACCAGAAGAGTGGTTTAAAAGCAATCACTCAGGAGTAACAGGAACTTTGGTTGTAACCCACTGTTACGGATTAAAAACTGGTGGTCAGCTTAAAGCCAGCTGAATTAAACCAGCATGGTGCTTAGCATAGATGTTTCACCAGAGGAAAGTTGCTAGCATAAATAGAGACGTGGAGCAGGAGAAGCTAGGTGTTGCGGGTTTCTCTAAGTGTTGCTGTTTGAGTTGTTGGTTCTCCTGGAGGAGCTAGTCATGACTAGCTTCCCCAGTGTGAGTTCGACCAGACAAGCTCGATGGTGAGAAGCTTTGTTGGTGAGAGTGGCTGTGATTCACTTTGGGGTAGCTCTGGTCCTTACATAGAGCACTGCTTCCTGGTTCTGGAGGGGAAGATGTGTGCTGCTTAATCTCTAGGATAAACTTGTCATGCTGGCTTTCTGGCATGTACTCAACTGTTCTTATCTGTGTCACTGAGGATGACTGTGGTGCTTTTCAGGACAGTCCTGGTCTTTATTATGAGTATGCCTTTTCGGCTCCAGTGTAGAACCCTCAACCTTCTAGTACAGCTTCTTTACCCTGCTGGTATAGACCTTCTAGCTTCCACCACTGATTTTTGGGCCTTCCCAGTACAGATCCATAAAACAGACTGGTGTGAGTCCTTCTTGTGGGATCTAGACCTCCAGTAGGACTTGTGAAAGGCATTCTCATGGGCTCTAGGTTTTCATCTGGACTCATGCAGGACATTGCTGTGGGATCCAGGCCCTTGGTTGAATATTCTGGGTTTTTAGTGTTGTGTATAGATTTCCTGCACTTTGTTGTGTTAAATTGTGGGTGACCATCATAAAATAATATAAATTCTGTGTCCTGATTCTAATTGTTCTCTGCACAACCCTGACTACAACAACTACTTAGCTAGGTAACATAAGATGATTTCTTTATACCTGAAGACTTATCCCCTGGATTGTAAAATGGGGACAGAAAGATGCCTTCCTCATAAAGCTGTTATGAGAATTAAATAAGATCACCTATGCAAAGACTAGGCCCAGGACCTGGTTCATAATAAGAGGCTGTTAATATTATTGCTATTAATAATAAGTTCCTGATAGAACCAGACTCAGAATACAGGTCAACTTGCTCTGGAGTATTGCACAACTTCGTCTTGACTTGAGTTGCTTTGGGTTCCTCTGAGGCAGCAGATTGGATGGCTGAGAACACTCTGGACCTTGGGGCCCTAGAGCTGTTCTCCCAGTGTCTGAGCACTTGTTCTTGGCCCTCATGGTCAGGTCTTTCCTCCTCCCATTTTCTCATCTCTAAATCCCACATCTGAGTTATCTGACCTCTGCTTCCCACCTGGCAGTCTCAGCAGCAAAACCCCTGGAACACGCACTTTCCTGTTGGTCCACGTGAGCCTGTCTCCTGACCTGATGTTTCTGCTGAGACATTGAGGGCTGTTTGTTCTCTTAGACAGAGCTGCTAATGGCCAATTTTCCATGAATCATAATCACCTTACTCCATTAGGCAGGATAATTAAGACTGGAAGGTGGACCTCTTTGCTCAGCATATGGGAATTGACAAGCTGGCCTGGGCTTTCCATAGAACCCCTGGACCCACTCACAGCTGCAGCTGATCAACCCTAAACGTGGAGCCTGGCAGGGGTACAAAGTGCCAACAGTCCCCAGAGTCCTTCGATCATGGTATTGAGTACAGGTAACTGGAGCACATGTGACAGTATGCTGAAGCTGGAGTGGCTAATGTTTTCTGCAATTAATTTACATCCTCTGTTTCCTATGTGCCAGGCCCTATACTAAACACATGACAAAGAAGAGCTCATTTAATCCTCAAAGTGGCCTTATAACATGGTATCTATTATTCATTCCAATTTTCAGATGAGAATACTGAGGCTGCAAGAGGTAATTAACATTCTCAAAGTCATACCTAGTAGGAAATAGAGCTGGGTTTTGGGTTTGGGAACTCTGACTCCAGAGGCCATGTCCTTAATTCTGTCTTTTTGGTGTGTGTATGTAGAAAATAGAAAAACACAATAATTTTTCCTTCTTTTTCCCTTCCTTATTCTCTCTGGTGCATTTTTATCTACAAATATCATCCAGGCAGTTTCTTCATTGCAGGGAATGGTGCTAAAACCTTTGTTGTTTTGCAAATAACAGAAGGTTATAGTTCCCCTAGGTCTCTGGCTATACCCTGAAGTCAATTAAATACATAAAGCTGAAAATGTTGAGGGGAAAATAATCCTGTGTTATGAAACCAAATAAAAATCACCTTAAGGTAGCTGTTGTTTTTAGATTATGCATGAGTGTGGATAATCAAGAGTTGGCTGTATTTTATGCACACAGCTTAATCTGTATCTTCTAAACAACTTTTGCAGTACAATTTTGGACAACAAATTAGTTTCAGATGAGGGACTCTTGCTCCTCCTTGAAAAACATTCTTCATTTCAAATTATCCTAGCTACCAGCCATCAAGGCTGACAAAAAAGCAGAGAATTAAATTGTTGGTACAAATCCTGGCTCTCGGCTGTCTCTCATTTGCTCATCACACATTCTCTTTGTATCTCCCCCTTTGGGGACATCCTGAGCAAGGAGGAGGAGCAGGGCTAGCATTACGGAGGGCTTCAAAGCTTTGCCGGAGCTTTCTTTTCATCCTCCTGGAGGCATTTACTCCTTTGAGGAGCCTTCAGCCAGTTCTGGAAATGGGGCCAGCTCAGAGGGGCCTCAGGGCAGCTGAGATGGAACCAGCAGCTTCTCCTTTAGGCAGAGCTCCCCACCAGGAGACCACACGGGGAGGATATGACCACCTACTGTAGCTTCTTTGCTCTTGGGCAGCCAGTGAGGGATGAGGACTTTTCCCTAGGGAACCAGAAAGTGGAAGTTAAGGTGGCTACATGTAACAAAGCAGGCTGGGGGTTAGTGTTCTGTGGACCTGTCTTACTTAATTGATCTTTGTCACAGTTCCTGGAAGAGGATGCGCTCTCCATGGCCTCTGTGCATGAGGAAAGTGAAGCTTACACAGGATGACTTCATCAAGGTCACACAGCTCATAAGTAGTCCTTTGGAGATCTGAAATCAAACCAATGCAAGAATCTTTATTGTTTCACATATCTGAGCACCATTTGGTTGGCATTTGCTATCTGTCTCCATGTGGGAGGGGATGGCTTCTGTTAGATCCAGCCCTAGGTAGATGATTCCTCCATTCCTAGATTGGCCTTCCACACTAAGTCCCCACATCACAAGTGGCAGATGCTCCTCAGCTTCCTAGAAGGAAAGAAAAGCATGTCAGAAATCTACAGAACTATCTTCAAAAGAAGATGAAATTGGCAATGTAGCTTTGATGTGTAGGCTAGGATTCTATTTGTTTTGCAATAGTACAAAAAAGTCACAAAAATTACACAGAAGAAAGAGTGCTTTGGTGCCACATGAAAGATAACTTTTTATATTTGCATATCTAACTACCTGGGCTTCAGTCCTTCTGATCAAGTGACTTTGTTTATTCATAACATCCAATTATAATAGCAAAAACACAACATTTATGTTACAGTAACTGCACCAAGGGCTTTTGCTTCACATCTTATTTGCTTCATGACTTATTTAGATTCCACAACAATCTTTGAGGTGGATACTCTCCTCCCCAATTTACAGATAAGGAATGTGAAGCACAGAGTAGTTAAATAACATGTTCAAAATCGTGGAGCAAGAAAGGAAGAAATGGGATTTAAACTCAGGCAGTCTGGCTTGTGTCTGTGTTTTAACTATTCTCACCCTGATTCTTCTACAGTTTTGCCTCTTTGCTTTTGTGATGCACTCTGTCAGGTATGACCCTTTGGTTAAAGTCCCTTGTCTGGTTATCACACTATGTCTGCAGTTAACATTTCTGTGTGGACACAGCTTTTACATTGATGGTGGAGCTATGAGGTGTTAGGGGTCATGGCTTTTCCTTCTCTGTGGGCAGCCTAGTGTTGCACCTTGAAAAGACCACAGATGCTTTACCTCTGCTTAGGAATAGCATCTGCCTATTTGATATATATAGATTGGCTTTACACATTGGGATGGCACTGACCTAAGTGCTTAGAGGCTTGGAAGTAAAACAATATTCACCGGGGGGAGGAGCAAAGATAGACAACAACTGGCTACAGAGGCTCCCTGAGACAGTCAACTTAAAATTCAACATAATACAGAGTGGAGAGCCCCAAACAGAGGGAGATGAATTCTCTCATCCCAAGAAGAAATTACCAACCATCTGAGGTCCCACTGCGACTGGTTGACGCTGTGATTTGCTGACGCTGTGATTTGCTGGGGTCCTGCCACAACTGGCTGAGTTCCCACTGTGACTTGCTGAGGCCCCCCCTGCGACTGGCCAGGGTCCCCCCGTGACTGGCTAGGGGTCCCGCCGCAACTTGCCAGGGTCCCGCTGTGACTTGCTGAGCCGTCTGAAGTCCTGCTGCTTCTACTCACTTGGAGGCACACAGTTACATTGAATTCTGGAGTCAGTGAGCCAAATGGAGAGCTGAGTTGGCGTGGAGCCTATATTGAGCTGTGTTGAGTGACAGGAGTGGAGCCATTCTATAAATAGCGGGGCCCTGGCAGACACATTCTGGGATCGGGCAGAACTGACAAGTATAAGGGGCAGCAGTGACTTCAACAATTGTTCCCTTCCCAAAGAGGATTGGTGGAGTGAGCTAGACCTGGGTCACGTGACCTGGCTGAGAACCAATAGGTTATCTGAGATCAAGTTCCTGCAGCGGTGGCACATACTGGCCCAGTGACTGGTCTGGAGGGAGGCAGCACAAAGTAATACAGTAGTGCTGGCCACAGCAGCTTGACTAAACTGGAGGGGAGGAGCCAGCATATGTAATCTCTGTCTGCAACTCACTAACACACTGCAGTGTGAAAGGTCATCTAGCCAGCGCACTTCAGAAGAATTGTAACCAACAAAGAAAGAAACTGGGGCCTCCTGGAAGAAGCAAAGAAAAGATGGGAAGAGGAAGTCCCCAGGCTCCAACCTTGATAACATTGACCCAGGACAGGTAAATACAAAGGAGAATGAGAACAGCAAACATGCAATATCAGACACAAAACCAGTGGACATAAAGAGATATATTCGAGACCTCATAGATGAGTTCAAAAGTGAGATATTTAGCCAAATAAAGCAAGATATAAGAAGATCAATAAAAGAGATACTAAGCACCCCTCAAGCAGATGCAGACTGAAGAAGGGAGGAATTCAAACACAGGAGAGAACCATTTGGTGAAGAATATAAAAAAATACAGAATACATGAAGCAGATTCAAAGAGATCACCAGGAAATTTAAAACTCTATGGAAAGATGGCAAATCAGCTTGAAAGAAACTAAGGATATATTATGCAAACTGGAGGACAATTTTGCAATGTGGGAGTATGAAAGGGAAAACTTTTTAAAAATAACAAGGAAATAAGCAGTAACAATACAAAGGCTAGAAGATGACAAAAGGATCTATAACGTGAGAATAAAGAATGTAAATGAAGAAGCTGGGATACAAACAAAGGAACTACAAAGGTTATTCACAGAAATAATTAAGGAAAATTTCCCAAACATAGGAAAAGCAAATGATATTCTGATATATGAGGCATACAGAACTCCAGCCACCTACAACCAAAACAGAGCTACACCCAGGCATAAAATAATCAAGATCCCAGAAATTCAATATAAGAACAAAATAGTAAAAGCTGTTAGAGACAAGAAACAGATAATCTACAGAGGAAGGCCCATCAGAATAACGGCAGACTTCTCAACACAAACCATTAAGTCAAGAAGAGCCTGGAGCGAAATATTCTGAGCCCTGAAAGAAAATAACCTCCGTCCCAGATTGATATACCTTGATAAACTGTCTCTAGAAATTAATGGAGAAACAAGATGCTTCCAAGACAAAGAGGAACTTGGGAAATTCGCAATCACCAATCCAATTCTACAGAGAATACTCCAGGGCATTCTAGAGAGAGAGAAAAGTACTAGGATTCCAGGAACAGTGGCAGAGAGGCCTCAGTGAATGGAGCAGGAAACAGAATGAAGAAGATAAGCAGACAACTGATGGCTAAAAAAGAGCATAACAGAAATGAGGCAGAGAAGATTTTATTCAAAACTGATATGATTGATAGTATCAAGTCTGAGAGTATAGGCAACTACACTGAAGATGACAAGACTCAATGATACACATTCTGGTTTGATAACTGCCAGTTTTTGAAGTTCTATACTATATACAAAGTTGTGTTTTTATTAATACTGTTATGTACTGAAATATTCAATTATACTATGTCTGATGATATAGCCAATTCTATTGGAGATAACAAGAGACAACACAGGAACTACGGTAGGACAATTTGTACAATGGTCTTATATGTTTGTTTCATGTGTTTATAAGAATGCTTTGTTTTGCCTTGCTTTGTTTTGTTTCTCCCTCTAATATAGAAAGGATAGAAAAACATGTTAAGACTCATGCATGTGTAGAATCTATAAACAGTTTATGAGAGCTGATCATATGACACATGATGAAATGAACAGATACTCCGAAGCAAAAGAGACACTAAAATACCCAGTGCTGATCCTGGAGTGTCATAATGTGAAACCCAGCAATAGTATTATTCTTTGTTCAGAGTGCTGTTAGCCTGCTTGGGTTTATTCAATCTCAGCATAATTGAAAATATGGATAACTGCATGTATGTTTAAGTGTATAGGATTGATAACCATATTTCTAATTTTTTGTTGGATAGTTGAACAGAACTGGTTGCAATCTCACTGTTTGAATCCCCACTTTATAAGCTCCCCTTTAGTATTTTGAATAACTATTTGTGAGAAGACAAGCTGTAATCATCACCTAGTGATTTCTTACTGTTTATTTTTTTCTTTGAAATTATGTATTATTTTTATCCATTTTCTGTTTTATTTAATCTTTCTTTAAATTAAATTAAAACAAAAGACACTACAGTACCCAGTGCTGATCATGGAGTGTCATGATGTGAAATCCAGCAATATTATTATTCTTTGTTCAGAATGATTTTAACCTGCTTTAGTTTGTTTAACCTAAACATAAATGAAGCTATGGATAACTGCATGTATGTTTAAGTGTATAGGATTGACAACCATGTTACTAAGTTTTTGTTGGATAGTTGAACAGAACTGTTTGCAGTCTCGCTATTTGAATTCCCATTTTACATGTTCCATTTTTGTATCTTGAACAACTATTTGTAAAAGGACAATATGTAAACATCACCTAGTGATTTATTACTGTTCACTTTTTTCTCTGGATGTATGTATTATTTCTACCTATTTTCTGTTTTGTTTAGTCTTTCTTTAAATAAAATTTAAAAAAAGAAAAAAAAAAACAATATCCACCAAAGAACTGTCTTTCCTGCTATATCCCTCACCCAGCTCCAATTTTACCCAAGAGTCAAGGACAATTGAAGATCCAAGGTAGCCTTGAATGGAAAGCAAGTGTTCCATGACAGCTTGAGAAGGTATGGGAAGGCAGGTAGCAGCTCAAACCTTAATCTGTAAGGAGAGGCTGAACCAGCCCAAGGAGCATCCAGGACTGGGTACCCTGATTATAACCCTCATGCCTCTGCAGCTTCAGCTCTGAAGAGACAACATACACCTAAAGTGGGCTCCAAACTGGAATTATTTTTGGCTCCTCCACTGTGCTTGGTACAAAGTAGACTTTTAGTGAGCAAGTTTTGGATATATGAAGCTGCGCTATTTGTTATTATTTTGTGCTAGGCTACCAGGATGAATGTGTAGGGAAGCTTAGGACCCAGGTGGACCTGAGTTCGCCAAAGGAAATGAATTCATCTCAGATGATTTAACATGAAGAAACCTCAGTGAAGGGTTATTTACAAAGATGTTGGCAGAGTTAAGGGAAGAAACACAGAATGGCAAGGTACCTGGGCAACTTTTGGCCTGAAGACTGGAGACAAGAGAGTGAGCGGTGGCCCGGAATGACTGTGTAAAAAAGAGGTCACTCTGCAAGAGCAAGAGTCACAGAAGGTTAGAGTCAGAGACATGGGTCTGAAGCAGCCCTAGCATGAGGGTGGAAACGCCTGATTTTTCAACTCTGGTCCTGGAATTCTACCAATGCTTCTGACAAATCCTACTGGAAGCACCAAGGTAACTGGAGGGATACAGTTCTCTGGGGCCAGCCTCTTGGGGCCCATAAGGGTGAAGAATGAAGAGAGTTCAGAATATAGCCCTTCTTTTCTTTCCCATTCATCCCCATAACCATTGGCAAAGGGCTTTCAGGTACTGTTCTACAGGAAGATATTTATATAGTATAGACAGGGGCAGCCAGAGCCTGAGGGCTTGGCCTGATTTAGTGGTACCAGTACCTCATTCTCCTCTCCTTTTCCCTCTGTCTTTCTCTAACCCCTTTCTCTGGCCAAAAATCTCTTTGAGCAGAATCTGTAGTCATCTAGGATCCTTGTTTTCTTTTTCTGTACTAGAGAAGGAAAAGGGCCACAAGCTGTGTTGCTGAGTAGCAAGAGTGCCTTCCTTCTGCCCAGGGCAGGACCATGACCTATATCAATTTGCAGCCTGAGAAGAAGTGGAGCAGAAGACCTGTCCTCCTGTGGCTCGTGGGGCTTTATCTGCACCATTCATTCCTTCAGGAATGCTTCTGGAGGATATTCTGTGTGCCTGGCACTGTGCCAAGTCTTGAGGATTCTGAGCAGCAGGTTCCTGTCTGGAGCCTGTGGGTATATTTTGCCAACCTGAACTCATTCCATAACATACAATGAAGACTTTTCCTGATATCAGGTGATGGGACTCAGCTTGCAGTCTGCCAGATTTTATGCATATGGACAAACAGGAGGGGGAAAGGAATTTCCTGTTTCTTAGAAGTTGTGTGACCTCAGACATGCCATCTAGTTCCTCTAACTGGTTTCTCTATCCAGGTGAAAGATATACCCAGCAACCTTCCTGCACTAGTTTTTCATTTGCTGTGATGAAATCCCTGAGAAAAACCAACTTTAAAGGGCAAAATGTTTATTTGGCTCACACTTTTGGTTTGTGGTAGCTTGGCCCTGTTGCTTCTGGTCCTGTGACAAAGCAGTACATCATGGTGGGAGTATGTGGCAGAGAAAGGCTGCTCATCTCATGGTAGCCAGCAAGCAAAAATAGGAAGTTGAAGGGCCGAGCTCCCAGTATCTTCTTCAAGGACACATCCCCAGTGACCTCACTTCCTTCCTAGGCTCCATCTCCTAAAAGCTGCACCATTTCCCAAAGGTGACACATGCTGGTGATCAATCTTTAGCACATGACCTTTGGGGGACATTTGGGACTTATGGCTTTCCCATCCCATGAAATCTTACTGGGGCTATCAATTGTAATGCCTTACCTCTTATCACACTGGGGTATATGACACAGGCTGGCTGATAAGAGTACCCCATCCATCTTGCTCAGGGATTCACTTAGATGTGAGCCTGAAGCCTTATAAAAATCAGCAGATTTTCCTTGATTATTCCCTTCCCTGCCAAACCTGAATTTTTTAGCTGCTCCCTCTCAGTTGATGACAATCTCATTGATCCTTTTAATCAGGCTAGAGATCTTGGAGTCATTCTTGACATTTTCTGCCAATCCACAGTCAATCCATCATTAAGTCATGTTGGCTCTATTTCAAGTATGTTCTAAATCTTTTCACTGCCTCTTCTCTTGTCTAAGTCACCATCATCTATGTAGATCATTGCAATAGTTTTCTGGATTCTGTTCATGCCCTCCATGGCCAGTTCTCAGTGTAGCAGCTAAAGTGGATCTCCTAAAGTATGGGTTGGGTCATGTCGTTTCTTTTCCCAAACTCCTTACTGACTACCCTCTTCTCTTTACAAAGCCACGCATAAAATGTGCCCTTCCTGCTTGTTACTTCTCTGACACTATTATCTTTACTTCTCTCTTGCATTTTGGTTTGTGTCTAGATGTCCCCTGAAAGCCTCATGCACTTTTCAATGGGGATTTTTTTAGAGGTAACTGAATCCAGAGATTATGATTGATTCATGGTTCATTGCTGGGATTAGGGTGATTAAAGATGGGTGATTGCTTGATCAGCCCACTGATTGAATTGGTACTACCCTAGTCCCAATAGACTGGATACAGTAAAAGGGGCTTCTCTCTCCTCTCTTGCTTCTTTTGTGCTCTCTCATTGCTTTTGCTGCTTCCACTCCCATGAACTGTTGTCCTTCTGTCACGTGCTACCCTGCCTTGGAGCTAGCTGTTCATGCACTGAAACTTCTACAAATTGTGATTAAATAAATCTTTCCCTTTTAACT